GAAACATCAATGAGAAGCTGCCTCCTGCACACTCCCTACTGGGAATGGAGCCTACAACCCAGGCATGTGCCCTGACCGGGAATTGAACCAGCAACCTCTCAGTGCATGGGACAATTCTCAACCCACTGAGCCACCCCGGCCAGGGCAGATAAAGAGCTCTTAAGTCCCTAGGAATTTCCTGGAGCATCTTTTGTCCTAATGAGGTGATTCTTGGTGGGCTCCTGGATGAGGGCTGGTCACCACAAAGACCAAGCCATGATCAGAAGCTTGGAATTTTCAGCCCCACCCCCCATTCTCCAGAGAGGGGAGAAGGCCTGGAAATGGAGTTAGTGGTGGGTCACACCTATGCGATGAGGCCTCCATAAAAGTCCCCAAAGTAGGGGGTTCAGAGAGGTTCTGGGTTGGTGCACATATGGAGGTGCTGGGAAGGTGACACACCCCAACTCCATGGGGACAGAAGTCCTGTGCTTGGGACCCTTCCAGAACTCACCCAACACACCTCTTCATCCAGTGCTCACCTGTACGCTTCATCACATCCTTCATTATAGAACAGACTGATACACGTAAGGGAGGGTTTCCCTGAGATCTGTGGGCTGTTCTAACATATGGCGGAATCTGCGGAGGGAGGTCAGGGGGACCTCGAATGGTAGCCAAGAGGGACAGAGGTTACGGGTGACCTGGGACTCGTTCGCGATTGGCACCGGAAGTGGGGGGCAGTGTCATGGGACGGGGCCCTTCACCTGTGGGGCCTGGGCTAACTCCAGTTCATGCCGGAATTGAACTGGAGGACCCCCACACGGTGTCCCAGGGAATGCTTGGAGGGGGAGGACATCCCCCACATCTGGCATCGGAAGTGTTCCGCGTGGGGCAGCAGTGAGAGAAGAAAGGAGAAACCCACAGGAGGGGTGTGTCTCTCCAATGCGTGACCACACACAGCTCCGCCTACACCTGCTGGGCGCCCCCGCAGGAAAATTCACTTCCTGCCCTGTCACATGGAAAGTGACATTATCTTAGGAGGCATCGGAGCAGGTGGCACGGCAGGGCCCACGATCACGCCGGATCAGCCTGGCAGGTGTGTCTCACGTCTTGCGATCTGCCCATCCTGTTGGCTGGTGTCTCCTCGCAGCCAGGAGAAGAAGTCAGCTGCTGAGGTCTGGAGTCATCGACTCGTGCTCACTAGTTCATTCATTTACTCAACACATACTTACCGAGCGCCCCCTCGAGGCCAGCGCTGGGCTGTGCTCTGGGCACGCAAAGCTAAATCAGACCCCATGCTGGTCTTCCCAGAGACCGGTGGCTGGGGGGCTGGAGGAGGACGCAGGAGTAAGCCTTTACAACACGGGGTGGCAGGAACGCACAGAGGGGAGGGCCTGACCCTGACCCAGACCAGAGAGGGAGATCCCAGAAGGCTTGGGGCAGAGGAGGTGGCATCAGGGGCTTCCTTGATGTTGGCCACAAACCATAGGTGGCCTTTAAATTTTAAATTAATTAAAATGAGATCATGTTGAAAATTCAGTTCCCACTAGCCCCATTCCAAGTGCTCAAAAGCTCCACGTCTATTCCAGAACATTCCCACCGTGGCAGGCAGTTCTACTGGGGCGGGCTCTCCCTCCCAGGGCATGCCTCGACCTTTCTCCTCTGCTCCCCCCACAGGCGTGCATCTCCTAAGCTCCAAGGGACCCCACAAGACCTGCACCCAGGGAGCAGTGGGCAGTGGCAGCCCACCCCGGGCTAGCCCCCTGAACCTGTCCTCACGGCCCCTTTTCTCTGACATCTTAATAAACCAAAGCAGCCAGCAGCCTAGTCCCTCTCCTGTTGCTTCTTCTGTCCTAGGCTCTGTCTTGTTTCACTGTCCCCAGCTTTAATAAATGTCCTCTCAAAATAAAAATTAAAAATAAAAATAAATGAGCCCTGGCTGGTGTGGCTCAGTGGTTGAGTGTTGACCTATGAACCAGAAGGTCACAGTTTGATTCCTGGTTAGGGCACTTGCCCAGGTTGTAGGCTGGATCCCCAGTGGGGGGTGTGCAGGAGGCAGCCAATCAATGATTCACTTTCATCATTGATGTTTCTATCTCTCTGTCCCTCTCCCTTCCTCTCTGAAATCAATAAAAATATATTTAAAAATAAATAAATAAAATAAAAATGAAAGAGCCCTGGCTGGTGTTGCTCAGTGGTAGAGCAATGGAGCATTTGAGCATCGGCCCAGGAACCAAGAGGCCGCCGGTTCGATTCCTGGTCAGGGGTCATGCACAGATTGTGGTCTTGGTCCCCTATGGGCATGCAGGAGGCGGCCGATAGATGATGTTTCTCTCTCATCGATGTTTCTATCTCTTTCCCTCTCCCTTCCCCTCTCTTTAAAAAATATTAAAATTAAAAAAAATGAATAAAAAAAACCTCAGAGTTCCACTAAATAACCATTTTTGTTTACTTTTATTTTTCAAATTTCAGTTTAATTTTTAAGATTTAAGTGTAGTTGGTATCAAATATTATATTAGTTTCAATAAATCAATAAAGCCTCTATTTTTGCATCAGGTAATATCATTAATAGCTAGAAGTCAAAATAAGATCAGTAATAAAACCTGGTATAAATTTTTTAAGACTATTTTTAAGAGCAGTTTCAGATTCTAAGCAAAAAAAAAAAAGATTTCCAGACGTTATCAACAATAGACTTTCAAAGAAACAGAAACCAACCTTTTCTTCCTTAATCCTCTGCCTTCTAGCTAATTCTACAGTCAAAGAGAAAGGGAAGGTGACTGAACCAGCAGGAAAGGATGAGGGGGAAAAAAGCAGGCGTTCCACAGGAAAGGGGAAGCACTGGTGTTTCCGAGAATCTCAACAGCTTCTGCTAACAGAGAATCAAGAAGAGTTTCCAGCCCTGGCCGGTGTGGAGCAGTGGATAGAGCTTCGGCCTGCGGACTGAAGGGTCCCGGGTTCAATTCTGGTCAAGGGCATGTGCCTTGGTTGTGGGCACATCCCCAGTGGGGGGTGTGCAGGAGGCAGCTGATCAATGTTTTTCTCTCATTGATGTTTCTAACTCACTATCCCTCTCCCTTCCTCTCTGTAAAAAATCAATAAAATATATATATTTTTAAAAAACAGTTTCCAGCCCTGGCCAGCGTGGAGCAGTGGATAGAGCGTCGGCCTGCGGACTGAAGGGTCCTGGGTTTGATTCCCGTCGGGGCACATGCCTGGGCTGCGGGCTCCATCGATCCCCAGTGTGCCATTGATCTTTCTCTCTTCTCTGTCCCTTCCTCCCTGAAATAAACAAAAACATATTTTTTTTAAAAAAGAAGAGTTTCCATTTGCTGACCCTATTAAGGCATTCCGAGTTACCCACCTGGCCTCCTCTTGGGGTGTTACAGCCTGTAACAGTCACCCCATTAGTCAACACCCTCTCACAGAATCACCACGCCCCAGAGTGAAAGAGGCTGCTGGGAGCTCCTATGAAAAGCAGGACGAGGCACCCAGATCCTTTGTCTATGCCCCTTCCGCCAAGATCACAGACTTTGTCTCCAAGCCCGCTTGGGTCAGTGGGAGAGCTAACTGTAGATGTTTGATGGACACACTGATTTAGTAGAAGTGACGAGGCGACCAAAGTGAGCAGGAAAGGGGCAGGAGAAAGATATTGGAAAGATACCACCTCTGAAGGGCCTGGTGTGACCTTTAACCAAGGGCCAAATCCCACAGAGACCAGGTCTGTGAATGAATGAAGTTGACCCGGTAATAGGGAGTGGTGGGGACTGTGGCAAAAGGGCCTGTCTAAAGGGGGCAGCTCTCTCAGCTGAAGCTCTTTGTTACTCTGTGGGCATGTTGGCCCAGTGTAGCCAGATCTCACCGTTTCCCAAAAGAGGCTGGAAATACAGGTTCTCATAGGACAGCCCAGGTTTTTAAAACATGTGGGCCACATCAAACTGGTTTCGAACCAGCTATGGCCCACAAGGCCATGTAGCTGTCACCTTAGCCAATGCAAGGGAGCTCATGCTGGCTTTTGGGGGGGAGGGGGGAGGAGGGGGCGTGGAAAGGGATATGATAACATCTGTACTTTAGAAAAATCCCAGTGCCGCGTGTGGGAGAGGCATTACAGGGAACGGACCAGAGGAGAGGAAACCAGTTGGGAAATGCAGCCCTTTCCTCAGCTGGGAGGTGGCAGGGGTCCAAGCGAGGCCGGCGGCTGTAGAGAAGGCTGATGGGGCGTCTGGGATTCAGGGGGAAGAATTCTATCTGCCTCTGGCACACGGCAGGCATTCCCTCGCTGGCTCCCTCTCCTCACCCCTTCCCTACACTGGGAGCCGAAGGCACAGGGCAGATAGATGATCTCAAAGACCAAAGGGACGGAAATTTTAGCAAAGACTCCGGCTGCAGCGCAGTCTAATTTTACCCACGGGTATTTTAGAGGTAGACCTCTCTTGACCAACTGCCCCAGCCCTCAGGCGCCCCCGCCAAATAAAAAACATATATATATCCCGGAGTTTGGTTCTGCGGAGCAGCCAGCGGGAAGCTGGGAGCCAAACCCTCTTCTGCAAACAGCAGAGGGAGGCCCGGCTCCCACACAGGCTGTGCCATGGAGACAGACCTCCGAGAAGTGGCTTGGGCTCATGTCACGGTCTTGCTGGTTGTGCAACCGGGTCACTTGTGTCCAGGGAGGGAGGCAAAGGGTAGGAGGTGGCGAGTGGAGGGGAGGGAAGGCCCACGCACTGCAAAGAAAACACTTTTTAAACGGCCCACAAGTGTGGCTTTGACCGCGTCTTTCCTCTGCCGACCCTTCTGGGTTTTGAGGGCAACGTTTTCGGGCGTGGGCACAGGAAATGGCCCTGCGCCTCCCTGGTTTTGCCTCTCTGGTTTTGGGCAGCGCCCCCGAGGGCCCCCTGGGATGAGTGAGAGGACGGGGGCAGTCAGGCAAAGGTTAGGGAGGGAAGCAAAGCGGAGGCCCCGGACGGACGGGAGGGCTCCCTCCGGGAAATGTTTGTATTCCTCCTCCGAAGGGAGGGAGGGAGGACAAACAAGCTCTTTTGGTGCCTCCCGGGCAGCCAGCTTTGCGCGCTCCGGCGCAGCGCCCGCGCGGAGCAAGAGCTGAGCGAGGCTTGCAAGGAGAACGCGTCTCCCGATTCCTCTCCAGCATGAACCGCGCGGGGCCTGCCCGCCGCTTCCCACCCATGGCCACGTCCCAAAGCCTTGCGGGGCCACGCGCTCGGGCTCTCGGGGAGACGGGCAGCTCGTGACCCGCGCTCTGGAGTCGGGACCTCCCTGAGGCTCCGGTTTCCCGGCTGAAGGTGCAGTTCTCCGTCGGTCCGCGTGTGCAGCGGCTGCATCCACCACCCACCTGTGCGCTCGGTGGGCACCTGCATCCCGGGGTTGAGGAAGTTAGAAAAACCAGCAGGGGAGTGGCGGCTTTCAGATAAACATCTGCGTCTCTGCGGGAGCCCCGGGAGACTCCGGAGCACTCACTCGCCCGCCCGCCGACCGTCCGCCATGGACAACGGGTCGTGCTGCCTCATCCAGGGGGACCCCATCTCGCAGGTGATGCCGCCGCTGCTGGTCCTGTTCTTCGTGCTGGGCGCCCTGGGCAACGGCATGGCCCTGTGCGGCTTCTGCTTCTGCATGAAGACCTGGAAGCCCAGCACCATCTACCTGTTCAACCTGGCGGTGGCCGACTTCCTCCTCATGGTCTGCCTGCCCTTTCGGACCGACTACTACCGCCGGGACCGGCGCTGGGCCTTCGGGGACGCGCCCTGCCGGCTGGTGCTCTTCATGCTGGCCATGAACCGGGCCGGCAGCATCGTCTTCCTCACCGTGGTGGCCGTGGACCGCTACTTCAAGGTGGTGCACCCGCACCACGTGGCCAACGCCATCTCCAACCGCACGGCGGCCGGCGTGGCCTGCGCGCTCTGGGCCGTGGTCATCGTGGGCACGCTGTACCTGCTGCTGGAAAACCACCTGTGCGCGCAGGGCGGGGCCGAGTCCTGCGAGAGCTTCATCATGGAGTCGGCCAACGGCTGGCACGACATCATGTTCCAGCTGGAGTTCTTCCTGCCGCTGGGCATCATCCTGTTCTGCTCCGCCCGGGTCGTCTGGAGCCTGCGGCGGCGGCAGCAGCTGGCCCGGCAGGCGCGCATGCGGAAGGCCACGCGCTTCATCGCCGTGGTGGCCGCCGTGTTCATCACCTGCTACCTGCCCAGCGTGTCGGCGCGGCTCTACTTCCTCTGCACCGTGCCCTCCAGCGTCTGCGACCCCGCGGTGCACACGGCCCTCCACGTGACCCTCAGCCTCACCTACATGAACAGCATGCTGGACCCCCTGGTGTATTACTTCTCCAGCCCCTCGTTCCCCAAGATCTACGCGAAGCTCAAGGTGCGCAGCCTGAGGCCCAAGCGTGCGGGCCGCCCCGGGGCGCAGAGGCGGGAGGAGATGCCCATTTCCAATCTCTGCCGCCAGAGCTGCACCGGCGGCGGCGTGGCCAACCACGTGCAGAGCCAACCTTGCCTGCCGTGAACCGGCGCTCAGACAGACGGACGGACAGACAGATGAACAAAAAAGGACAGGGTGGCGACTCAGAAGGACTCCCTGCTAAGGGGTATGGAGGGGGCTTTGGAAGGGCCGTCGCCCCCTCACTCTGCTGGAGACCAAGTTCAGGCCACTGTGCGTTTTGGGAAGGTGCCGGCTGAGAAGTGAGTGGGTTGATTACAGTGACAGGACATTGTGTGTGTATCAGGGGCCTGTGTATGCTGGGTGGAGGGTGTGTGTGGGGGGGGGGGGGGGGGGCGTCTGGGGAGGTTAGGAAGGGCTTGGCTCCTGTGTCATATTAACCGGTGGAGGAAGTAGGCACAAGTGTTTGAACCTGTCTTGTTCTCTCTCTCCCCCGGGGAGTCAGTGAACTTGATGACTTATCAGTATTTCCTATCCTTTGCCCTAAAACCCTTACTTGTCTTGGAAAAGAGCAACAGGACTAAGTCAGTACCTTTCTGTCGGGCCGAGTGAGGCTCTGCAGATTGGGATGTCTTGATTCCGATGCTTTTCGTCTTCACGGGAGGGAGGAGGAAGGGGGAGTGTGGGTGGGGGGAGGGACCCTCTGTTCATTTCTGGACTTCTCAGTAGCCCAAGAAGAAGGACAGCAAAACCATCCGCTCTGACCTCCTGGGAGCCCCCCATGTTTTCTGCAGCCTTTGCATTTCAAAGGACATGCTGTGGGGTATGTGTACCTGCCCTGGTTTTTCCGGGGGGAGCTGAGTGCTTGAAGAAAATCCCACTGGCTTTGGGGGGTGCCAAGTGCCCTGTGACTGCCTCTACCTGCTTGTTGTGTGAGTATGAGTTGAAATTACTCGTTTGTCCTCCGGCCTTTACTGAATTCACATTGTGTGCCAGACACCATGCTATGTCCCTTTTACCGGGAAGGTCGTTAGTCAACTCCAATAGGACAGCAAGGGTTTTTTTTTTTTTGGGGGGGGGGGTGAGGCAGAGAGGTTAATGACCCTCACCCTTTCAGTACAGTTCGTAGACCGGGTCCTGTAAACAGCAGTGTTTTCCTCTCACGGAGGGTTCTGCACAAACACCAAGGCGGGTTGGGGTCAAGTGTCACTTATAAACTCACAGGCTGCTCTGATCTGGATCAAGGACCGACCCCAAGCCAACATCAGCTCCATTCTCAAGTCACGGGGCAGTGAGAGTCGTTCTCAGGCACCTTCATCTCCACTTTCTCACACCCCCAGGGTGCTCGCTGCACCTAGGGATCTTCCTTACCAGCTTTTCGCTCTCCAAACACCCCTGCCGGCGATCTCAGAGGCATGGCCTTCGCGTGAGCTGTAGGAAGCAAAAGCATGAATCCCAACTCAACCACTTACTAGAGGTGTGATGTGGGGGCAGATTTTACTTAACCACGTTCAGCTTTCATTTCCTCACCCCTCAAGCAGGGGTAGAGATGGCATGATAGTGACTTCAAAAGGTCCTTGGGCAGATTCAACACATTTAAGACCCTGAGGCATGGGGCCTTTGCTCACTGTTACAGTCCCAGTGCTTAGATGAGTGGCCACACATAGTAGTTGTTCGATAACTACCTGAATGAATAAGTGCATGGAAAACATTAAGCACACTGTGTGGCAGTCAGGATTCAATATTATGGCTTTTTATGTTAACGCCAGAGTCCCTTGGCCTGGCCTGCATCCTCTCGCAATCAGGGACCCCTTGGGGGATATTGGAGAGCCGGTTTGAGCCTGATCCCCACAGGCCAGGCTGAGGGGCCCCATCGGTGCACAGGGGCGGGGGGGGGGGGGCTAATTTCTTCTGCTTTCCCCCTCCCCCTTCCCCCCTCTCCCCTTCCTTCTGAGATTCATCAGTCTGTTCCATGTTTCCATGCCTGTGCATTGAGCATCTGCCCTCTGGTGGTCATTGTATGTCATAGCTACTGGTCGAACAGTCAGCCGGAAGCTTAGGCTTTTATATATAGATACTTTACACATAATGAAATGGAGGCACATACATCATTTCCCTTGAGGTTCAGAGCCCCCCTAAGTAGCTGCTGCATAGCCACAACCAGAATTCTTCCACTCTCCAGCCACTTGGGGTGGAGTGAAGGCCAGGAGTCTTATCAGCATCAAAGACCCATATACCCCTCCTGATAGGAATTTGTGAAAACCCACACTTCTGCTTTTAATTCTATTCTTAGTTCTCATTCTCTCCCGGGCTGCTCCATGATTGCTTCATGTCAATAAAAATGGGTTCCTAAAGCAAGTTCGTGTCCCATGTGCCTGACGCTATGTTCAATGACTCATAAGATTTTACCCTGCACAGGAAAAAAAGTCTAACCAATTCAAAAGCTCACGGTGGGCAGAGGTTCTCACTGCAAAACAGCAAGAGCAAATAAAAGAAAAATCAAACAAAAACCCAAAGGCAGACTCGACTCTAATTTTGCTTCCCTTTTTAAGTCCAGAGAATGTGACGAAAACCAAATCTTATCAAGAATCGTTTTTTCAGGCCCTGGCCGGGGAGCTCAGGTGGTTAGAGTGTTGTCCCGATTCCCCAAGGTTGTGGGCTCGATCCCAGGTCAGGGTACATACATGAATCAACCAATGAATACAGGGGTAAGTGGAAAAACAAGTCTATCTCTCTCTTGTCTCTCTCTCTCTCTCTCTCTCTCTCTCTCTCTCTCTTAAAAAATAAAAAAGGTCTTCGGAAATTGAAAGGAAGAGGAGGAAACTTTGTTGACAGATGGTTTAAACTACCTGGAATAGGGAAATGTAATCAACTTAGAAGAAACTTTGTTCCTCTTACTTAGGGTCTTTTAGGAAGTCACATAAACGCGAGTATTAGATCATATATTCTATGGAAATTGTATGAAAAAAATAAAAGGTACCTTTTATTGGTGCTGATAGTGTAAAAGATTCCAGTTCTGGTCTATTCTCAGAATGGCCTTCCTTCCCCTTTAGTAAAAGTGAAAGGATTAAAAAATAGACTTTAAAACAAAAGCTATAACAAGCGACAAGGACACAACAATTCCACTTTCTGGGTATTTATCCAAAGAAACCTAAAACACCAAATTGAAAAGACATATGCATCCCAGCATTATTGACAATAGCCAAGATATGGTAGCAACCTCAGTGTCCATCACTAGATGAATGGATGGATAAAGAAGTGGTGCATATATACAATGGGATATGACTCCGCCATAAAAAAGAATGAAATCTCACCATCTGCAGCAACATGGATGGACCTGGAGGCTATTGCGCTGCGTGAACTAAGTCAAAGACAAATGCCAGATGATTTCACTTACGTGTGGAATCTAAAAACCAAAATAAACAAACAAGCAGAACAGAAACAGGCTCATAGATACAGAGAACATTTTAACGGTTGCCAAGTGGAAGCGGGGTTTGGAGGGATGGGTGAAAAAGGTGAAGGGATTAAGAAGTACAAATTGGAGCCCTGGCTGGTTGCTCAGTGGTTAGAGCATCGGCCCCAGGACGGAAGGGTCTCGGGTTTGATTCCCAGTTAAGGGCACGTACCTCGGCTGCAGGCTTGATCCCCCGCCCGGGTCAGGGCACATGCAGGAGGCAACCAATCAATGTGTCTCTCTCACTTCCTTGTCTCTCTCTCTCTCTCTTTCTCTCTTTCACCCACCTCCCTCACTTCCACTCTTTCTAAAAATCAATGGAAAATGTCTTCAGGTGCAGATTTTAAAAAAAGAAGTACAAATTGGTGGTTACAGGATAGTCATGGGGGTGTGAAGTACAGGCTAGGAATATAGTCAGTAATATTGTAACAACTATGCACAGTTTCAGACGGGTATTATGTTTATCAGGTGATTATTTCATAAGTTACATAAATGCCTAGTCACAAGGTTTACTAATATAATATGTCAACTGTAATTTTAAAATAAAAATATATTTTGAAGGGTTAATGAGGTCTGAAGTCGCAGGGGCTGCTGAGAGCAGATTAGAACGAGGGGTCAAAGCCGACTGTTGAAGGTTCTAGAACACAGTGGGCACGTGGCCACGCATGGTCTCAGCCTGCTTGCCTTTCAGCCCTTCTGTTCCACGGAGGTTTCCAATGAGTCAGGACCCCATCGCGGCAGTGAGTGCATCAATGGCCGCGGGACCAGCTCCACGCTGTGCCGGGCGGGCCCCATGCAAAATGAAAATGTAAGGCCCCTTGTTCAAAATAATATTAAGAATTTTAAGGTGGTGACAGCAGAGCATTAAACTAAACAAAGGACCCTCCTGAGCTCATCCATAAAACTGGGGTCCTAAATTTTATATGGATGGATTGGTGGCTAGCAAGATAGAAGATAGATAGATAGATAGATAGTTATTGAGGTGGAATAAACAGATGGCCTCACATATGGGCCTAATACATATTAGCATTCAGTGATGAGACAGTAGGAGTGGGAAGGGGTCAATGTTTTATTTCTTGTGAAGGTTCATTCATTCATTCATTCATTCATTCCCTCTTTCAGGGAACACTTTTTAGGCACCAGCTCAGTATCAGGCACAGTAGAAACACAATGGAAAACATAGCTCCGGACCCCATGGGTTCTACTGTAGAAACGAAGGGGGAAAAAATAAGCTCTCCTTGCAGGGTAACTGTGATGAATGTGGGTGACATGGGCTCTACAGGAGAACCCAGCCCTTAATCCTGGCTTAGGTGGGGGGAGGCTTCTCAGAGGAAGTGACTCATGAGCTGAGGCCTGAGGGATGGGAAGGAGGGAGGCCAGCAGATGACTCGGTGGGGAAAGGTAAGGCAGTTAGAGCGCAGGGAGGCGGGAAGCAGAGCGGGGAACTGCGGGAAACCCCTGGGCCAGGAGCAGGAAGCCCAGCCTGGGCCGCAGCAACGTGAGAGCCATGCAGGAGAGAAGGGGCCGGAGATTCGTGAATAGCCTTTTAGATTTCGTTCTTTTTAAAAAATATATCTTTTTACTGATTTCAGAGAGGAAGGGAGAGGGAGGGAGAGAGAAACATCAATGATGAGAGAGAATCATTCATCGGCTGCCTCCTGCACGCCCCCTACTGGGGATGAGCTCACACCTGGGCATATGCCCAGTCCGGGAATCGAATTCCGATAGGTCGATGCTCAACTACTGAGCCACGCTGGTCGGGCCAGTTTTCATTCTTTAAAATAATAATAATAATAATGCAATGTATTTGATTACAGAAGGCATATGTATGGTTTTTGTTCAAAATTCAGACACAAATATATAAAGTAAGAAGTAAAAGTCTCGCCGAAACTGGTTTGGCTCAGTGGATAGAGCGTCGGCCTGCGGACTGAAGGGTCCCAGGTTCGATTCCGGTCAAGGGCATGTGCCTGGGTTGCGGGCATATCCCCAGTGGGAGATGTGCAGGAGGCAGCTGATCGATGTTTCTCTCTCATCGATGTTTCTAACTCTCTATCTCTCTCCCTTCCTCTCTGTAAAAAATCAATAAAAAATATATTAAAAAAAAAAAAAAAAGAAGTAAAAGTCTCACCCTGGCCGGTGCGGCTTGGTTAATAGAGTGTCAGCCTGCACTCCAGAGGGCCTTGGTGCATTTTGTGTTAATTTTGGGGTACAGTGCAGGGAAGGGGCCCAACTTCACTCTTTTGCATGTGGCTATCCGATTGTCCCAGCATTATTTATTTACTTATTTATTCATTTATTTGAAAGAGAGAGGGAGAGAAACGCAGGTATGTGCCCTTGACCAGGAATCAAACCCGCGGGCGGACGCTCTAACCATTGAGCCCAGCGGCTAGGGCCCTATTATTCTTAATTAAAAAAAAAAAATTAGTTCCACCCAGTCCGTTGGCACACATTCAAGCTGTAATACGATCACTAGGCACGGAGACTCAAGTTCACCGTGCAAGTCATGGGTGATAAGTGAACTTTCCTCAAATCCCCGCGGAGCCACTGCCGTGGCTGTCGACATGATTCATTAGAACCAGTTTCTGTACAGCTCATGCGCTGGTAAGGAAAAGAACAAATCCGTAAGTGGAGGGTGCACGCAAGACAAAACATGCCCGCGGCGAAGGGAGGCCAGGAACGCCGCCGCAGGCCCCCAGTCCGAATGGGGGGCGGGGGCCGAGTTGACATTCTGCCCGCGTACCCTCAGCTTTGGTTTAGAACAGCGGTTTCCACCCTTTTTCCTCTCGTGCACACATCAACTAATGACTGAAACTCTGTGGCACACCAGGAAGGGAGTCTTTTGCTGATCTGACAAAAATTAAAAAAATAAGAAGGTATAATTTTGTTTCGTTCACACCGGACAGCTATCGTTGTGTTGGCTGTTGCCATGTTTTAATCTGACAACCTAAGGTGAAGAGAGGGCAGCGCCCCTGGCGGCAGGGGCAGGTACTGCGTGTTTGACAGCCTGCGGCACGCCCGCCGATTGACAAATCCCTGGTTTGGAATGCTAGGACGTGAGAACTTGGGAGGAAGCTTGAATGAAGTGCATCCTGTCATTTGCAGGTGAGGAAGCGGTGGGGTTCGGAGCTGGTTCAGGACGAAGCCAGAGCCACCGGCCTCCCCAGCTTTTCTCTCTTTTTCAAGCTTAACAATATCGGTTATTCTTGTCTAATTTTGTCCACGACAACGAATTGATTTTTTTCTTTCTCTCTCTGTCTCTGAAATCAATCAATAAAAAGCAAAAACCTACACAAATATCATAGAATTGTAAAATGTAGAAAGGGAGGGTCCCTTGCAAACTTTCGCTCCCAGAAATAACGTACTGGTTGGTTTCTCTGATTTGTGGTTAACCAAGACCCTTAGGATGACTGTACGAGCATCACTGACAAGTCCACATCTGGGATGGCCACAGGCAGCAAGGCCGGGAAGCAAATGCCAATCATTTCCCGGGAGACTAAGACGCCAACACAGCGAACGCAACCTCAGTCCAGCGCAGCCTCGCGGACGAGGCAGCGTGTGCTATGGTCAGGACACAGGCTTCGATGCCAGGGCCGATCCACACCCACCCTCTGCTCTTTTCTTTTTTCTTTAAATATATTTTTATTGATTTCAGAGAGGGAGAGAGAAACATCAATGATGAGAGAGAATCATTGATCGGCTGCCTCATGCATGCCCTCCACTGGGGATGGAGCCCACAACCTGGGCATGTGCCCTTGACCGGAATGGAACCCAGGACCCCTCAGTCCGACGCTCTATCCACTGAGCCAAACCAGCCAGGGCCCACGCTCTGCTCTTATTGGCTGGGTAGCCTTGAATACATGACCAACCTCTCTGAGCCACACTTTCCTCATTTTGAAACCTGAGTCAGTAATAGTCCCTACCTTCCGCACCGCAGGTGAGATAAGACAAGAGAGTGTATTTAAGGCACCGAGCGTGGGGTCTGACACATTGGAAGCTCCCAGTAACATTGGTGCAAACATCACCTTTATCATCGTCTTCATCATCAAGTGTGTCTGGTTCCTGGGAGTCTAGTATTAGATCATCCTGACTAATCCACTATCGAGAGTCTACCAACCTCTACTATTGAACCTGGGCGTGCAACTGAAAAAACAACTTTCCTATTTTTATATATATATATATATATATATATATATATATATATATATATATCATTGATTGACTGCCTCCTGCACGCCCCACACTGGGGATTGAGCCTGCAACCCAGGCCTGTGTTCTGACTGGAAATCAAACCGTGACCTCCTGGTTCATAGGTCAATGCTTAACCCCTGAGCCACCACCAGCTGGGCAACTTTCCTATTTCTAACTCCAAGTAGAAGCAATTTAGAAACTTGTAGCAAAGCAAGAAGTTGACAGACCCAAATGTCACGGGTAGAAATGTTCTGCAGCCTTACACCCAATTATACCGAAAAGCAAAGAAATGACGCGTGAAACGGTGACCGGCTTCGAAGCAAGAGTTCAAAGTCCTCTTAGGTCCTGTCACTCTGAGTTCAATTATTAAAAAAAAAAAAAAAAGAGGGGGCTTTTAAAATATCACATGCTAAGCGGGGGAGACGGGGGTACACAGGAACTCCCTGCACTTTCTGCTCGATTTGGCTGAGAAGCTCAAACTGCTCTCACAAACAAAGCTTGCTAATGTTTTAAAAAATCACGTACTTCGACATAAATCACTTGAGCAGGAAAGCGTATCAAAATCTAACACGAACAAAAAACCTCGGCTGGTTGTAACATATCCCTGGCAAGGCTCCCACTGTCTTAGGAAATTTTATGCTGCTCTCAAGTTGCTTTTTTTTTTTTCTTTTCTTTTGCAAAAGTAGAAATTCATTGCAGAGTTCTGGAGAAGCCAACCCATTGCTTGGGCCGAGAAGATGGGCCTGGGGGACATAACACCCACGTCACGTGTCCTCGTGAAATAGACAATGACTGTGTTCTCGGCGTCTCCAAAAGATACCACACACCTGCTGCTCCCTAACCCACGTGCCTGCGAACAGTGCCTCCCTGTTCTTAATGTTTCTGGAAAACCAGGCTGCTTAGCCCAGTGAGTCGTTGTCGCTATGGGCGTGAGCCGACCCCACGGCAGGGAATCCGTCTCCCGCACTGAGCAGGCAGCAGACAGGCTTGCAGAGGGATGCCCTGTGCGGCTCCGTCACTCCCCACGACGGGCGGCTTGCCCAAACCCATCCTTTACATTTAGAACGTTTTGTGGGTTCCTGTCGGCCCAGGGGATTTTTATTACTTATTTATGCAAACAGCCGGTTGCCTAAGAGCCTTGCCGGCTTTTTTTTTTTTTTTTTTTTTTTTTTTTAGCGATTTCGTAGTTTCCTGGTAACCATTCAGTCATCTATTTCAACACCCCGACGTGACATAAAGGCGGGCGGCGAAGCTCACATCCTCCACACAGACACACACCTCCCTCCGTGAGCACAGCCTAGGTGAGGCGCTCCCTGTGCCAAGAGCCAGCCGGCCGGCCGGCCGCCACCCCTCATGCAGCCGCACCACCCACACGACCGGGAGACTCACTTTCTGCCCATCGACAACAAGAACTGCTGTGTGTTCCGGGATGAATTCATCGCCAAAGTCCTGCCGCCCGTGTTGGGGCTGGAGTTTGTGTTTGGGCTCCTGGGCAATGGCCTGGCCCTGTGGATCTTCTGCTTCCACCTCAAGTCCTGGAAGTCCAGCCGGATCTTCCTATTCAACTTGGCCGTGGCCGACTTCCTCCTGATCATCTGCCTGCCGTTCCTGATGGACAACTACATGAGGAAGTGGGACTGGAAGTTTGGGGACGTCCCCTGCCGGCTGATGCTCTTCATGCTGGCCATGAACCGCCAAGGGAGCATCATCTTCCTCACCGTGGTGGCCGTGGACAGGTACTTCCGGGTGGTCCACCCCCACCACGCCCTCAACAAGATCTCCAACCGGAAGGCGGCCATCGTCTCCTGCTTCCTGTGGGCCCTCACCATCGGCCTGACGGTGCACCTCCTGTACAAGAAGATGCTGGTCAAGAACCACGACGCCTACCTGTGCAGCAGCTTCAGCATCTGCAATACCTTCCGCTGGCACGACGCCATGTTCCTCCTGGAGTTCTTCCTGCCCCTGGGCATCATCCTGTTCTGCTCCATCCGCATCGTCTGGAGCCTGCGGCAGCGGCAGATGGACCGGCACACCAAGATCAAGAGGGCCATCACCTTCATCATGGTGGTGGCCATCGTCTTCGTCATCTGCTTCCTGCCCAGCGTGGCCGTGCGCATCCGAATCTTCTGGCTCCTGCACACGATGGACAACCACGTGACGGAAGAGACCTGCGGCATCTACCGCTCAGTGGACCTGGCGTTCTTCATCACCCTCAGCTTCACCTACATGAACAGCATGCTGGACCCTCTGGTGTACTATTTCTCCAGCCCGTCTTTCCCCAACTTCTTCTCCGCCTTGATCCACCGCTGCTTCCGCAAGAAGAAGCCGGAGGAGCCGGATAATAATCGGAGCACAAGCATCGAGCTCACGGGGGACCTGAGTGCGTCCAGGAGCGTCCCGGGCGCTCTGATGGCCGAATCCGGGGAGCCGTGGAGCCCCTCTTACCTGACTGCAGCCTCTCGCTAAGCAGCTAAGGAGGGAGACTGTCACCAAGAACCAACGTCTCTGGAGAAACCGTGCCGTGCGGCCGGTGCCCAGAGGAACACCATGAAGCACGGCTTGCGGTTTCTGGGCCCGGCCCGGCCCGGAGGACCTGACTCAGAGGATCGGTGTGGGTGGAGTGGGCCGCTTGCTGCAGGGACGGCAGACATCTCGGAGGAACGGAGAGCGAAACTTCCGCTCCATCCTGGACACCCGCGGAACTGAAGGCGGCAAAACTGTCCAGGTTCCCTGCCCAGCGAAGTGGGAGCCACAGAGACGCCGATCGGTCGGCACCTGTGATTCATGGGGCGTCTGCCCTTCGCCTGCCTGAGGCTTGGCTGGTTCTCAGCTCCTGGGGCCCGTGCCTGGCCTGTTCCCGGCTCCGGCTCCGGCTGGGGAAAGGAGAACGAAGTGATTGAGAGGAGTTGCCGCTCCTGGCGGGAGCCCAGGCATCGTTTCCCAAGGCCTCGACCACCTGGGGCTCCTTGGGACCAATTCATCTTGCAGCCAAGCTTTAGCAGAACTGGACTAGACAGACTCATGAACTTCGGTTACCATCCCAGGTCCCCGCTGCGATAAGAAGGGGCTTAGCCCGAGAGAGACAGTGTTACTAAGGGAAGGAAACAGGCATTTGTGCTGCAGCCGGCAATTAATCCATTCCTCCCTGTTGACACACATTGGAAGGCTGAGCCGTTAAAAAGGCTTCAGGGAAAAGAGCTGCTCCCACCTGTTTGCTTTTGTCATTAAAAGGGAGATGCCGGCTGGTTGCCGCGGGAGGATGCCTCCCGGCTCATTTGCGTGTGTTTCTGTACTTGTGAGAAATCCACCCCGTCCATACAACTTGGAAGTGGGACACAGTCTGGGCTTGCATGTGTCTGGGTGACAGGTCACAGAAATGGGAATGCTTGCTCAAGCAGGGACCTTTATGGGTTGTGAACTGTGTCCTGGTAGAAAAATATCGTCTCCTGTAATGTGAGAAGGCCGAGGACGCTGAGACGGCGAAGTTAAAATTCCACATGCATTGGGGCCAGGGCAGGCAGGCCAGGGCATAAGTAAAAAAAAACCACTCCGTTCGGAAGGATAGTTGCAGACAGGAGTGCAAGAACAGATTGCCCTTGCGTTTGTTTAGATTTCAGTGAATATTGCTCTTCTTATTTGTGTATGTTAACAACTTATTTGTGTATATTAACCAATCTTTCCCCCCTCTTCCCCCAACAAAATCAATAAAAACTTAAAAATAAAATGAAAAAAAAAAAAAAAAGGAATCAGGCCGGACTGGTGTTTGCATAGAAGGGGGAAGACAGAGCTTCCCGTGGAGTTGTTTGGGGTTTGCATAGAAGGGGGAAGACAGAGCTTCCCGTGGAGTCGTTTCGGTTCCCCTGCTGCCGCGGAAGGGAGATGTCCGGTTTGAGGCGGTGGTGCGTCCAAGTTTCTGTTACGCCTTCATTTCCAGCTTCTCGATTCTTCAGCAAGACAGGTTTGCTCTCATGCCCTGACTGGGAGGCAGATAAGATATGCAGATATGCAGGCTCCCAGCTGAATGGCAGTCAATCTCCCTTGAATTGCACGTTTTCAGAGCACTTTGTTTATCTGGTTCTCCAATCAGCTCCTAGGGGTAGAAAGTTAAAAGCAGGGGTCACCTGAAGAGGAAGAAAGACATGGCAGAGAGGAGGCGGGGGGGGGGGGGGGGGGGGCGGCTGGGGGCGCTTGGGGGGGAGTAGGGATCCCTCACCCCCTGCGGGTGAGTCAGCAGGGAGCCAGGTAGAGCCGTGCCAACCTGTTCGCAACAACTCACATTTGTGCATTTGCTCATTCATTCCATTTGCTTTTTAAAAAAATACGTTTTTATATGTTTTTAGAGAGAGAAGGGGCGAGAGAGAGAGATAGAAGCATCAATGATGAGAGAGAATCATTGACTGGCTGCCTCCAGCATGACCCCCATTGGTGATGGAGCCTGTGATCCAGGCATATGCCCTTGACTGGAATGGAACGGTGACCTCCTGGTTCACGGGTTGACATTCAACCACTGAGCAACACTGGCCTGGCGGAAGATGCCTTTTTATCATTGTTTAATTCCAGGGCCGGTAAGGATGCAAATAACTGAAACCAAGTTCACATCCTGGAAAGATGGTGGCGTACCTCACAGAACATAAGGGAGAGGGAAGCCAGGCTGGGGCAGCTGCAGGCGACCAGCTCCCGGCCCATCGCCCCGGCTCTTAGCCAGGAACGTGACTCCGCCCTCAATACCTGTGTCTCTCAGGCCAGATTCCCAGAGCAGAGAATCTGATGGAACTCAAATCACTCTTCATGAAAAAGAGTCAAGACCACGGTCACACAGCAGCCGGGGGAAAGGGTATTTTTAAACGATTGTTTGTGTAAAAACATGCTCTCTGCCAGGCATTCCTCTGACAACATTTCAGCTCACCTTTTGTTTCATCGACTTAAACCGCATGTGTGGGCTTTTATCAGAGTCCATCTCAACTCTCGCGCTGGCAAAATTCCTGCCGTGTTATAAAACGATGGTCCCAGGAGAACGAAGAGGTGACCCGTCGACCTTCAGGGAGCCTGGGGTTGACATTGCCCCAAATCCACTCAGGCGTGGACTCTCATCTGTGAGTCCCAAAGCCCCCCAGAAAGGCTTGCTGGAGGATGAAAGTCCTGTTATCTGCACGTGGCTTAATACATTTGTGGCAAATGCTCGCGGGTGGACTTGGCTGCGTGCAGTACCTGCTCCTGAAGCTCTGTCCGTTAGGTTGCCTGTCTTTAATGACAAATGAAACATGACTATTTTGCAAGCAGCGCTGGATTTTCTTTGGGCTCAAATTGAACATTTGGCCACCCTCTGTGTTCCCGGAGAAGGGGGGTTTACAAGCATCAGGCCTGACCCAGAGTCCACAATCCCACGGCCCTGACAGCTGAGAGGCTATGCTTCTGGCCCTGGCTGGTGCGCTCAGTGGTTGGGCGTTGTCCCGTGCACCAGGAAGTCACAGTTCGATTTCCGGTCAAGGGTTCATGCACAGGTGGTGGGCTCGATCCCCAGTAGGGGGCGTGCAGGAGGCAGCCGATTGATGATTCTATCTCATCGATGTTTCTCTCTCTCTCTCTCCCTGCCTCTCTCTCTAAAAATCAATAAATTATTTGTTTAAAAAAAGGGGGGGGGGAGGCCTAACCAGTTGGCTCAGTGGATAGAACATTGGCCCTCAGGCTGAAGGGTCCCAGGTTCGATTCGGGTCAAGGGCATCAACCTTGGTTGCAGGCTCTATCCCCTGTAGGGGGCGTGTGGGAAGCAGCTGGTCAATATGTCTCTCTCATCAATGTTTCTAGCTCTCTATCCCTCTCCCTTCCTCTCTGTAAAAATCAATAAAATATATATTTTTTTAAAAAGGCTAGTACCCCTGGGATCTTAACAAATACTGATACGCTCAGCACTCCAGCCATACCCAGGGGGGGATGGATTTACAGCCCTCAGTGGGTATTGGGAGGAGAGTATGACATTCCCAATACAACTGGGAGAAGATGAGAGACCAACAGACCCACGCTGCCCTCAGGTTGAAAAACCGTGGGTTTCTGTTCCGCACTTCGGAATATGAAGCTTCGGTAGGAAAATGGTAGTGATGGTCCATTTTTGCTTTTGGTAAAGCAACACGATGCAAAGATAGACTCACCACCGAAAGACGCCCCATCCCTCACCCCCGTTCGATCTGCTGTCGCTGTGCTGGGTGTTTTACACAGACGACCTCATTTCGCCCTTTCGGCAACGTCAAAGGGTATTGAAAGGGGCTATTTCCGTTTCAGGGATGAGGAACTCTGAGGCCCGGAGAGTTGGAATAATTTGCCCGACGTCCTACAACCCGTAGGTGATGTGCCAGGAGTACAAATGCCTTAAACTTCTGAAAAAAGGCCAAGTGAGAGATGGGCAACGTGAACTGAAAAAAGTAGGGTGGGTACCTGGACCCCTTCGGTGGTCACTATTTCTGGAACTTCCCAGGCTGCCCAACCATTAGACCCGCAGGTACCTCCCAGGCCCAGGCTGAGATCATGTGCTTAAGGGGCTTGGCCTAGTGCCTTGCGCTCTATGAATATTTGCTTCCCTTCCCCAAAGCTAACTGGCGATGGCCCCTTTCTTTCTTGTGGAAGGTGCTCCTTGTCTTTCCAAAGAAGCTACCATCTCACAAGGAGGCGGGTTAGGGTGTTCATGCAACATTGGTTGCAATAGTGGAAACCAGAAAACCTAAGTGTCCACCAGTAGGGGGTTAGACACAGAGTAACACAGGCAGTCAATGCAATACTGCACCAATGGAGAAAAGTAAACTTGTACCGATAGGACTGCATCTTGAGCTTGGCATCTAGACCAGTGGTTCTCAACCTTGGCTGCCCATTAGAATCACCTGGGAATCTTTTGAAAATCCTGATTTCTGGGCCTCATCCTCCGGAAATTCCGTTTCTTTGTTACTAATGTTGTGGCCCCACCGCATCACAAAGAAACAGGATTTCCGGAGGATGAGGCCCAGAAATCAGGATTTTAAAAAGATTCCCAGGTGATTCTAACGTGCAGCCAAGGTTGAGAACCACTGATCTAGAGCAAAAAACAAGGTGCAGAAAGATACATGCAACATGGCAACATTTATGTAACTGACTCAGTCATGCTAATATAGATACCATGGTGCTTTTGGAAGCATCAGTATGTCATAGAACAGAAGTCATGGCTGAGAAGGATGGACAGTAACTACAGGATACAGACCATTTCTGGAGGAGGGAGGGAAATGGGATAGAAGCCGGGTTTCAACTCTCTGCAACGCTATATATATACACACTAGTGACCCAGTGCACGAAATTCACGCACATTAAAAGGGAAATAATTAGAGGAAATATTTTAATATTGCTATTTGCCCTTTATAATAGAAGTGTCAGAGATGAAAGAAAATTAGTAAAATGTATATGAAAATCTTCCTCCTGTCAGAGTCTGGGGCGTGCCATGGGAATCAGAGTCAAGTCCCCGCCCACCCATGTGCACCTCGAAATTGCACAAGACCCAGACCCAGCCGGCCCCACCCCCATTGAGCTAGATTCAGACCCAGCCAGCCCCTTCCAGGCAGTGGGCGCAGCCTCAGGTCCCCTGCCCTGGCCCAGTGCCATGCAGCCTCAGGTCCCTGCTAATTGCTCGTTAAAGCTAGTTAAGGGAACTCAGCCTCCGCTGTGGGCGCAGCCATCTTGACCATTACACCGTATGGAAATTTGCATATTCCCTCTTTATTAGATAAGATTTTTATTGATCTCTCTCTAAAGATCAATGGAAAAAATATCATTGGATGAGGATTAAAAACAAGTTGTTGTTTTTTTAAAAAAGACTAATAGCATCTAATCATCTTCCTTATACAGGGTGGGACAATACTAAGGTTCCTGCCCTGGCCAGTTTGGCTCAGTGAGTGTCCGCCTGTGGACTGAAGGGTCCTGGGTTTGATTCTGATCAAGGGCAAGTACCTCAGTTGCAGGCTCCTTCCCAGCCCAGGCCCTGGTTAGGGCTCGTGCGTGCGGGAGGCAACAAATCAATGTGTGTGTTTCTCTCACATTGATGTTTCTCTCTGTCTTTCCCTCTCTCTTCCATTCTCTCTAAAATTCAATAGAAAAATATCCTCGGGTGAGGATTTAAAAAAAAAAAAAAGTAAGTTTACTGTTGTTCATATGGAAAACAATACAATCACTAATTAATAATAATATAAGAGTAAACTCTGTGCTTCCCATCCTCACAGCTGTAACCCTACCTGCATCCCACCCTGTTCGCCTCCATCGGCCAGTGGTTTGAGAGCTGGGCTGGAACACTGTACGTGTTTATTTAGAGCCACTTATCACCTATAAATCCAAGCAGAATTTCACAGGAGGCCTGCGGTGCTGCACAGCGGAGAAATGCAACTGCAGGAAAAGGAGAAGCGCAGCGTGCAGGGCAGGCTGACTTTCCATCGGCAAACATTGCCCACCTGCTCCTTCTCTCTCCCCGTCTCCCTTGTGTTCACCGGTGAAACCAGCCTCAGAATTCACTGACATACCCCTTTTTTGTGGATGGGGGGGGGGGATGG